GGGTGCCCCCAAGGGCCCGGGGGTGCCCCCCCCAGCCCCTCGCCGCCATTCGTGGCCCCGGTTCGCAGCCCGGCATCGCCAGCAGCATGGGCACAGCTCACACCACCTGACCGTCGGCCTCGTCCAAAATCGGCCTCCCCCAGCTCCCGTTGCCTCGCTCGGGCCGATGCTCACAGGGCTTACGCTTTATAATTAACACAATTAAAAATAGATTTTGAATAAGCCGAACGCGGAGAGGCTAAAAATCCGCTGGGTGACTGGCGCACAAGTGGTGTTACTCCAAGGTAACCCAAGGCACCGCGGCGCGGGAGCTTCGCCTACCAGGCAAGTACTTTTCCACTTGTTTACAGTGAGCTCGATCCACACACGGGGCAGCGGGAACCCAACCCCAGCCAGCCCCGCCAGCAGCCAGACCACCGCCCGGGGATTAGCATCGCTGCCGCTGCTCCCAGAAGCCCTAAGATTGGTGAAATTCTAGTTTGCTTTCCAGCTGGATTCCCAGGCTGAGGATCTCTCACTGGAAAAGATGCTTAAATGCGAGGGGTTTGGGTTTTTTTTAAACACCACTCGGGCTTGTATTTAGATTTCTTACAGATCGGTCTTTAAGATAATAGCCGTGAAACACTGGATCTGGGTTTCCTTCTGCTCAGCTGATGTTCACAAGAGTCGCTCCTGGGAAGGGAGAAACTGGCCAGCCGGTTGCACCGGAGAAAATGGGAAACAGGCTACAAATAAAATGCTGCGCAGTTCAAAAACAAAACCGGGGGGGGGGGAAAAATGAAAGATTAAGGAGTTTGAGAAAGGGGTGTGAGGGATTCCCCCCCAAAAAAAAAATACTAATTCTTTATAGTTTGGAGCTTCTATGGATTATTTATACCTAGGCTAGACTTTTCAGACAGAAATGGGATTTTTAATATCAGCAGCCTTCCTCAGAACATTTTTATTGAGGAAACGTGTTTGTATGGCTGTGGAAGCCATCGGGATGCTTGAAGGAAAAGAGTACAGAGAGAGAAGACTGGGTTAAATTAATTCCTGCTAAATACCTACCAGCAGACTCGCTGTCTATATGGGGAGCTGGAGACAGAATTGTACCAGGGTATAAAGGATACTGTGTCTATTTATAGCGCTGCCTTCAACACTGTAGGAATTCAAAAGAAAACTCCAACTCAGCACACAGTCTTCTCATCATCTGCTTCTGTCAAGATTAAATCGGGGCTGAGCTCATTCCCCTCCCCTGCAAATCCGTGCTAGGAAGGATCTGTTCCTTGCTGCGAGTAAGGAACTTGCTCGTGGGAGTCTGGGAGCCCTCACCCAGCCAGACGTTACCTCTTTCCTCTCCGTAGTCAGAGCGAGGGGAGAAAAAGCCTCGCGAGCCTCAGCAGGGAGTACCAAAGGGGTTTCACCTGCTCGGCATCTGCGCTCCCGGTGCTGTCCCAGCCCTCCTCCTGACACCAGATACTCCAGGGCGCTTGCAAACAGAAGGGAAGCGGAGCTCCAGCGCGCTCTTGGAGCTGGGCTGCAGGGAGGGGATGAGCAGCAGGGTCCTGGCACACAGTCACTCGTAGTGTCACTTACTGAGACGAGGCCCTTACCTTACAGGGGCACGTGCAACCCTTGCCGCTGCGGGGCCATCCGTCTCTGGGAAGGATTGGGCTCCAGTAGCTGCACAGGGCACCTACTTATCGCTAGAAATTATCTCTGATGTTAAGAGCACAAATGAGAGCAGCCTTGGAAAAGGTATTAGCTAAAAACCTGACCGCCACTCTAAAAATAAGGCAGGCTTCCAGAGCTGCGTAGCTCCACTCTTCTTTTAGCATCATGGTGCCTCAGATCTTTCCTTCTCATCTGCCACCTTCCAGTTTCTCTTTAATAAGAGCTGCTCTTCCGCTCCCCACACAGCGCTACCTACGCTACTCTCCCGGCGCTCCTCCTCTTGTAATTCCGCTCTCAAGCTGTCTGCTAGGTGGGGAGCAGAAGGCGCAGGATTTGGTGCTGCCTTTGAAGTACAGGTAATTATTACCTGCATCTGTTATTGCGGCTGCTGCCTCAACAGGTGGAAAACACACTGTTCTCCGATGGATTTGTGGCACTCTCTGCTCCTGCCTTGCCTTTTCTCTAAAGCCAGTCGTGCGGTGTTCCTGAAATAATAAACACAGCCTCACTGCTGCCACAAAAACCCCTGGTAAATATATTTTTATGGGAATGAAATATTAAAGGATTTGAACAGTTATTCACTGAAAGCAAAATATGAGCAGTAAGGTTGGGTAAAGATTCAAAGGCTGGTTTGCTTCCTTTCCCTGGGGCACATCACGGCTGTACTGTTTGCACTTTAGAGATGGATAGTGGGGAATTACTTAACCAACGATGGAAACAGTTCAGACTATAATAATATAGCATGAGAGTTTCTCACATTACATCTATTCCCCATACTGCTGGCTATATTCTGCCTTCAGATTCACGTGCGCAACTCTCACTGGATTGTGGAGAAACCGTATTTGAAGCCAAAACGCATTTCATTGTCTTTCTGAAGTCTCTCGACGGTTTAGTTGCTAAATCCTGTGCTCAAGGACTGGGGACAAAGCTTGTCTAAACATTTCCCGGTGTCTGTCTCTGTGAGATTCCCATCTGCTGCGTGTTCTTTCGAATTTCATCTTCCTACTTTCCTAAAAACACAAAGCAGAAAAATGCACGTTTCCTCTGCCTGGGAGTGTAGGAATCACCAAATCTCCCAGCAGGT